AGTTTATGGCATGCAGGTATGTGGCATGCATTTTATTTGCTTTCGATTAGAGCAGCTAACTGTCTAGGAAGCATGCCCCCAGCCTGCCCGTTCTGTGTGTGTTTGCCATTTGTTTATGGCGACTAATATCGTGCTAAGAAATTTGCAAACAGAAGCAGCTCCTGCGGGGTGCTCCGCTCCACTCTCTGCTGCACATTTGTCATGCTTGATTGGGCATTTTTAAAGTGAGTCAACGAGGCGCAGAGGCAGTGGCAAAGTCTAGACGAGGGTCGACACACACACACACACACACACATGTGTGTCTGATGTGATGTGGCCACCTGTCAGCGGCAGCTGCTGTTCTGCTGTCAGTCCTGAACTTGAATTTTAAATGGAAAGCCGTGGCCATAGCCACCGCAAATAGCAGGTTGTGCGGTCATTAAATGTCAGCTGCAGGGCAACTCAATGCCACACACACACACACACACACACACACACACACACACACACACGCATTAATAAACCCTTTACAAAATTGTTGCTCATAATTGTCAGAGAATATGTTTGATGGAAAATAGTAAAAAATAAACGACTCTCCCTCCAGCCTCCTCCAGCCTCACGGACAGGCTAAAATCAACAAAACGCTGGCGAATATTTCTCTGATTGCGTTTCTGATGATATTGTCACGTACGTGCAACACACACACAAAAATCGCGGGGGCGGCTGCTCACAGCCAAATAAACATAATTTCTGTTGCTGCGAGGAGTTTTTTTTTTTGTGCCGCTGTCACAGTCGCCATCAACAATCAAGCTAAAAGCCACGTTCCAGGTGGTGGCACTCTCTGCACTCTCCCTGTTCGAGCATGTGTGCGGCATATGTAACAATGTTTGCTTTGGCCAGATTAAAAATTATGCTTTGTTTGCCCAACTGTCAGCAGAAAAAGCAGCGCAGACAACAGACAACAACAGTCACAACAAAACTGACAAAAAACGAAAAATTGGTTGAAAGTTTAGAGAACTTGGAGAGGAGACTGTGATGATACCCCGTACTAAGGGGTGTCCGGAGTAAATTGATCGGGAATGTGGGTTTTTCTCAGCCATAAACCTAATCAAACTTTAGTTATAGCTCTAACAAAACTGTGAAACAAAACCTCCCAAAGATTTCCCTGAAGCAACCCACCCTCGTTCTGCCTTTCATCTGTAGGGTATCAGAAAATGTGTGTAAAAAACTTGTTCTTTCTTTACTTTTTAGTACTTTGTGTTGGGGTAGTGACAGAGAGTGACAACAAACCAAACAAAAGTTCAGGCCCAACAGCAACAAAAAGCTTACCTTGCCCCCAAACAAAATGTTGCCGAAAAATGTGTGTCAGCTGAGCGACGCTGCCACTGTCCCAGCACCCACCACATCATAATCATCTTTTTTTTTGTAGGTGGTGCTGCTGCTGTGATGTGAGCTGCTGCTCCTGTGCGCCGGGGCAATCAGCATTTTTCTTTTTGTTTTGTTTTTGGCCGTTTTGGCAATGGGCACAGGCCCAAGCCGAGGCCCATGCCGAGGCAAGTTTATTTTGTAAACATGCCACTAAAAGTTTTCCACTTTGCCTCTAAAATACACTCAAACCGAATGCCAACACCAGCGACACAACAACGTGTTCCACACTCGCCCTTTCCTCCTGGGCCATCTTTCATTTCGTTTTATTCTTCCTTCTTTTTTTTTAGTTAATTTAAAAAGTTTTGCAGGGCGAGGTTGGGTTTTCTTCTTGATTTGCAGCAGTCACAGAAAATTGGTAAACGATTCGACGAAATGTTGTAGTGCTTGCCACCACTCAAAGATACACAGCTACATTTTGGCTGTAGTTCCCGGTCCCCCGCCCCGAAGCTCCACGGTAGTTGCTGCTGATGGGAAAACTGACATTTGTGCGGCGAATTGCTTTTACAGTATATTTTTTTTTTGGTTGGTTTTCCTTGCTTTTCCACTGCTTTTGCCTTTGGTTTCTCTTTTCGTTTTTCCTACTATTTCCTAAAATCTATCTGTATCTTTTATTTATGTGTCTGTCACAGAAATTGAATTAGAAGAACGCTCGAGTGTTGTGTTGTGGCCTGAGTCGGGACATTTTCGGGGATTCATATTAATTGCTGTTTTCCGCGGACGGGGTTTTTAATGACAGCGGAAAAGGGATCACAATAAATATTAATTTGATGTGTCATTTTGATTTTAATTGGTTATATTTTCCAGGTGTTTCAGCTGCTCCTGCGAGCCGCTCACTGGAGCTGAAAGGCTTCAAGAAAAGTTCAACTTTGTATTCCCCCAAAACTACTTTACAGAAAGGTGTGTGCAGTCCACTACTTTAAAGCTACGAAGGAGCTCTTCTTATCAAGATTTGTAAGACATTTGAAGGATTTTTTTGCTTTATAGTTTCCATGCGAATCAATAGCCAAGAGAGGTACAAATAAACACTGCTTTAAACTGATGAAATATCCCAAAGAATTGCGTCTTTAATTCCCCACTTGAATTCCTTTTCCAGCCCACAAAAGTTTTTAGCAGCCTTCTAAAAGCCCCAACAAGAGTCTCTCATCGCTTTTATTCAGTTAAAGTTTTAGTCATTCTTCCTCGACATCAATGGCTCACGTTTTGGCAGCCATAAAAGAGCGCTTTGCTTACCAAAATATTCCATCATTGTCGTAGATGCATTTTTGGGAGGCACCGAGGCACCGAGGCACCGAGGCACCCGTCGAGTTGGCTGCTGCTGTTGCACGTTTGCTGCACGCTTTAATTAGATTTCATTTGGCGGATGACATCGTTCTTTCGTGGCAGGTCCTCTCTTGCAACAGCTCTCGCTGCTGCCAGTTGTCTCTTCTGTCTGCCTGTCTGCTGGGTGTCCTGTCCTGTCCTGTCCCTGTCTGTGGACATCGACACCAGAGGCACGAACCAGTCAATGCCAGGCCAGGCCACGCCGTGCTCGACGTTGACAACTGCGTTGCTGTCTGACTAGGACACTCCTCTCGCTCTCGCTCTCGCTCTCGCTCTCGCTCTCGCTGTCACTCTTGCTGCCCCACTCAATGTTTGGGCAATGGCAAACATTTTTGCGCTTTTTGCGTGAAAAATGATGGGAAATAATTTGCCAACAGCAACCCAGCAAGAGGACGACAACGAGGACAGCGAGGACAGCGAGGACATGCGACGTGGACGCAGAACCGTCAACGATGCTGTCCTGCCCCCCATTGCCTCCTTGAAGCAGCGGCAAAGAGTAAGTGCCACGTGCGCTTTCACCTGGCCATCGCTGCCTCGCCTTGTCTCCCCTCTCTTTTCGCTCCTTTCGCTGTGTGTATTTAGGTGAAATTTATTTTACTAATTATTATGTAAGCGGACGAGCGCTTTCTCCCAGCATCAAGTGTTTTTTGGCTAATGAAATTAAAGCGTTTGCCAAAGTGCGGCATGCCCCTCGCAGCTGCTACCCTCTGTCTAATGTTGCTGCTATAATTTATGTGTGGCAGCTGTGTGCTCAACATTTCCCTATTGCTTTATGATCGACTATGATCACACATAAAACATAGTTAACCTTCAGTTTAAATGCCACACTCCAAACCCACCCACTCTGCCTGATAATATTCCAGTTTTAACTCAATTTTCGCCGCTTGCAAATTCCCACTTGGCCGCCCACAGCCCACAGCCCACAGGATATTTTTACACACATTCTGCGCTGTTGAATAACATCGGTATCTGTAGTAAATATGTGTAAGATATGTGTGTGTATATTTTTATAGCTCTCTGGGGATAATCGGGGAGGGAGCTAATGTAAAGTCCAAACAGCAGACACATAAAAATGAGAATTTATGCATTTTTTTCGGCGCTGGCAAGTAGACGCCGCAGGGACACGCCGGTGACACAGGTGACGCTTTTGTGGATTTGTGGCCAACATGGGCGTTTATTGCAAAAGGGACGAGGGGAGGGACCGGGCTGGTTGTGGCAGCCGCACATGTCCCCCCCCCCCCCCCCCCCCCCCCCATAATGAAGTTGTATAAAATTGCATAATTTTATTTCTCTTTTTTCTACATCCCACGCTCTCTCCTGCCTCCGTTTGCTGAACTTTTCTTCATTTATGCAAAAAATGGTTTAACCACACTTTGAAATGTTTCGGTCAGCGCACAAAAAATGGCTCAGTAAATGTTCAATAAAGAAGAAAAATTACACAGGGGAATATTAAGGAAATATTCGCGCATAAAAAAGTTCAGCAAGAATATAGGAGAACATTGCCTCAAAGTTTATAGGCAGAGTAAATTCTATTACATTTTATTGAGAAACTCTGCTTCAAAGTCCATCAAAAAATGTATAGATGAGCGGGAAAATCAACACCGTTTTCCTTTTGTAAATATTTCCAAATATTCGCAAAAGAAATTCTTCATGAAAAAAGCTTTAAATCTTTATTCCATAATAATTGTCTTCTTTCCAGTCGTTATTCGTTTTGCCGCCTAATTAGCCATATAATAAACCTTATCTCCTGCCAGACTTTTCTCCCCACTCGTGACTTTGCGCCATAAACGCTTTTCAAAACAAAAGTTAACAAATGACTAATTAAAAATGTGTACAACTTTTTTTTGGATGCATAATTAAATGTTATTTGTCTTCACAACGTTCGTTTCGAACGCTTTTTTCTTCAGAACAAACACAAATGAAAATGGAAAAAATGGAAACGAAATGCCGCACGGTGCGAACAAATACAGCAAGTGGCAGGGCAAAGAGTCCATCCGCCAGTAATAAATAATATTTGCAGTGCCACCAAGCACTCAAAAAAGCACACAAAATAAGAAGCACGAGATTTCAACACATTTTAAATAAATAATTTCGTAATTAAAACGTTTTTGGGGGCTACAACAGCAGAGCTCGCTTCGTGGCACCACATAATACTCGTTTGCATTACTGCTCCTTGCCTCATTCAATCTTTTATTTAAGCAAATTGTTCTCTCTTTGGTTGGCCAAAAGTAAAGGGAACAATTTGCCTATTTTTCGATATTTTTTAGACTTACCTGGCTTGAAGCCATCGGCATGCTCATGGGAGTCCGTGTTGTGCAGGGCTCCCGCCACAATCAGGCAGAGCATCAGTGTCAGAGTCATGATTGCTGGCTGTTGTTGCTGCTGCTCCTTCTGCTGATAGCTGATAGCTGATAGCTGATCCTTATGTCGCTTTCTAAGCGCTGCTGAATATTCGAAGCTCACTTTGACACCAGCTTATGGCAGGAGCATTGAATATGCAAATAAATTGTTGCGGCTTTCTGTTCAAACATTTCACGTTTCACTCTCACTCTTTCTCTCTGCCTTTTCTTGTTGTTGGTTGTGGTGTTTTTTGCTGGCTTTTCACTTAATTAAAAACTCTCGGGCGCCTGGCACTGGCACATAAATTCATTTTAATATTAACAAACATCCATTATTTAGCCGCTGTTTGAACAAGAACAAGTCCTCCGTCGCATAACCGTTAAGATGAATATTTAATAGAATTTTTTGGTCACTCCTCTCTCTCTCTCTCTCTCTCTCTCTCTCTCTCTGCTGCGTGTGCTGTTTTCGTTTTTATAAATATTTAACATAAAACGCGCACGTGTTGCTCATTTGGTGGCTGGGCCCCCACTGCCTGCTGCAAGCATTAAAAATGTAATTTGAAATCCTTTTTTATCCACATCTCCTCACATCCTGCTGTCCGCTCCCGTGTTAACTGCAATTACAGAGAAAGAGAACGAAGAGTGAGTGAGAATTATGGAGTTAGTTTGTGGGCATATAAAAGAGACAAAAAGGCAGCCAAAGAGGGACTAAAGGAAGGACTGTCGGCATTTTAGTTGAGTTTTAATTAAAATTTTCCCGCGCCACTAAGCCACTCTCCTCGCTGGTGGCCTCCGCTGTGGTTTCTGGGCGATTACAGGCTCTCCTCTGCGCTTCTGCCATAAATAAATGCTCATTCACACACACAACTTAATGCCAATCAATAATGATAGATTAGGCCTCGACACACATGAGAGTGAGGGAAAGCCCAGCACAAATGTCTGTCCGTCTGTCTTAGGCAAATGAATAGCCAAAAGTTTTGTTTGCGGCATTAATTTTCGGGGAGGCAGTAAGGAGCGGCAGAGGAAAAAAGATAGAAAAAGTGAAAGTTTCCCCCTCCCTGCCCCACCCCCTCGACAAGCACTGCCTAACTAACGGTAATTGACAAAAGAGTCATGAAAACTTTGACTGCAAAGTTGCTGGCACACGTTTCTGTTGTTGTTTAACACGCAGCCCGAACAAGCTCCCTGCTCCCCTCTGTCCGCCGGCAGCCTGACAAAAACTTTCATATGACAGCCACTGAAGTGAAGAGCAAGTAGAACAAAAAAAAAGCACACGGAAGGAGCAGCTAACCGGAAGTGGCTGCAAGATGCCAAGGTGTGTGGCAGGTCAGTGGAGGAGCGGGAGGAGACTGCTGCTGCCTGCCTGCTCTGAGAACTTTTTGCACTGAAGGTAGTTAAGAGCTGTGTGTGTGTGTGTGTGTGTGTGGCAAGTGTTTATTGAGAGATTGAGCGCGGCCAAGTACTAAACTGAGAAGAGGTAACTAAAACTTAACAGAGACAACAACAAAGACCCAGAACACACATAAAGGGCAAAATTCAAGGGGGAACAAGTACATGTGCTCCTCAGTCGCTGCGAGAGATATTGATCTAGTCATAAGTCCCTTTTCCCAGTCACTTGTGTAGCCAGCGAACCCATTTGGTTGCAGGCTGCCTGCAGAATGTGGCAAATGGCGAATGCCTATGGCAACAAGCAGTCAACAAATGGCACATTAGATGGGCGGATGGCAGAACAGGCAAACGGAAATGGAAGCACACACAAAGAGACACAAAAACAGCAACAACGAAAAAAAATGTCTAGCAAAAACCTATGACAAAAACCCAGTCAATTATGCCAACAATATGCACCACATTTCATAAAACGGCAGGAGCTGAGGACATTGAGGACACTATTCCGCCATAAAACTATGGCCAGGGCCAGGGCTCTTGGCTGAAACAATAATAAATGGTAGCAATGGCAATTGTTTCAGGGGGAATTTTAAATGCACTTTTAATTCATATTTTATGATTATTTCTGTGTGTTCTAAAAGTGAGTCACAGATCTGCCTTCCACACTGCCACAACGCTGCTGAAAGGCACTCAAAAATGTACTTGGAAGGCTCTAGTTCTTAGAAAAGTAATGCAGAAAAGAGACTAAGAGACAACGAAATAATTCCCACTGATTTTACTGATTTTTGTTATCATTCAACATTCAATTCCTGATATTCCTGCCCTGTCAATCCTGTTCCACTGACTCTCCTAATGCCACTTACTTGTGCACTCAGCAACAGCTTCTCAAAGCCACAGCAGCAGAGTATCCACAGCCAACGAAATGCAAAAACCAAACGAAATGAAATGAATAAGCGATGGGCAGTGGGGCGGAGGTTGTACTGTACAAACTACAGTGGAGTGCGGAGTGCGGAGTGCGGAGTTTCGAGTTGGAGTTGCAGCTTTGCACTGTGTGAATGTTTTTATGCCCCATGGAATGATAGTTTTTGCACCGCCCTGCTGCTGCTTCACTTTTTTGTACCTGTGTGTTGGGCCTGGGCCAATGCCTTTTGGCGTTTGGCGCATAAATTGAGCGCAGCAATTTCATTTAAATGTGCACAATAAACTTAGTTCCATGACCCTTGAGGCAGTTGCTGGCCCCGTCTCTTTCTGTCTAGCATTTCCCACTGTTTTGCCCTCTCTTTCTGCATCGTTTATGTCTGCACATCGTCTAAATGGTAAATCACATTAAATTTGCGAGCAGCAGTGTGCCCAGGGGAACCGGAAGTGCAGCACACACACACACACACACACACACACACTTGTGGCAATTGAAATGAATTTGCGGTGGCAAGCAAAAAAAGGAGTCACTTCCTTATGCAGCGCGGACAAAACTGTCTCACAGGGAAATCAATAAACAATGGAAGGAGGTAAAAACAACACAGCAAAAGGGGGTGAGAAAGAGCCAGGCACAACGGAGGAAGTAGGAGAGAAAGAGCAAGAACACGGAGAAATAGGGTGCAAGAGTGGGAGCGAAAGAGCGAAAGATTTCTGCAACAAGATGTGTGGAAAAGGAGAAGGAAGGAAAGTGGTGGACTTTTGTTTTGTTTTTGTTTTCTTTTTTTTATGTGGAAGGTTATTTAGTCGCTTGACATGCTCTTTGCCAACATAACAGACGCAAACGGTTGAGTTTTGCCTCACCCTCACCGCATTTATTCTCGATTCAAGCAGTTTCCTGCTTCACCCAACCCACCACGAGTTGGATATTTATCCGCTATCCGTTATCCGTTATCCGTTATCCGTTATCTGCATTTGTCAGATGATTTGACATTATTTGACACAACAGAAGGGACAAGAAACGGTGCAGAATGGAAGGCAGCGGAATGCAAATGGATTGACCAAATGAAAATTAATTTAAAGATCGGACAGCAGAGGGGTGGAGGGATGGCTCCCACATTTCAATTAAATCCTGCTGCCAGCTGCAGCATCGCATCAAAATTTAAGCAATATTTTAAAAGCCTCCTCGGCCTGTCCTCCCTGTCTGTCCGTCCCTGCATATTTCATGGTTTATATTTCACAGCAGCAGCAGGGGGTGGCTGCTGCCACCCAAGAATCTACCAAAAACATGTTGGGCTGCAGCCGAGGGAGGGGGAGGCAGCATACACTTTTGCACCTGCAACACTGCAACAATTTCTTTGGCTTTTATTTTCTTTTTTTTTTTGGCACAGCCTCAATTTCCGGCAAAACTGCCGACACGGCTTATCCCTGCCTACGCCTCTGGGCCTGGCCCCCCGCTTTCATTTCAACTACACGCTCAAGTGAACATTTTACTAAATAATACAACAAAAATTGTGCAGCGTGCACTGTCGACTACTTCACACAAGCAAAAAAAAAGGAGAAAAAATTGCATGAATTTCTGTTGCATTTTTAATTTTGAGCAGCGGCTCTCGGGAGCAGCAGGGAGCGAGGCGCAGGGCGACCTAAATATTTGCCATGCTGTTAAATTAAGAGAATGAAACATACAAAAAAAGAGAGCCAGGCAACAGCAAAGAGAGAGAGGGACAGAGCGGCAGGAAGAAACTAAATCAACAAATGCCTCGCGGCTGCCAAACGGCAGACGACACATTATGGTGGGAAATGGCGACAAACGACCGGAAGTAGCCACACACACAGTATGGGAGTGGGGGGGGGGGGCACTACTGCCCATAGGATAAACCTACGACCCGCTGCCTGCTGCTGCTGCTGACTTCCTGCGATTTAAATATGCGGCCCAGCCGCAGCGTGCACCAAAGCCCCAAAGCCAAAGGACAACGCATGCAAATGGCTGGGCAAAAAAAGGTACAGCCTGGCCTAGTGTGGGGAGCTACATAATGAGGCTCGCTCCCACGCTCATTTCCAGGTCGACATAATTTGTCCATAATTTGTCTGCGTCTTTGCCACACACACACACAGACACAGCCCTAGAAGAGTGCGGCCGGAGAGGGAAGTGTAACAGCCATGGGGGGTGCCCCGAGGACTGCCGGAAACCTCCTGTCTGGCTCAGAGTTTATCTATGGCGGGGCGGCCACTTGGAGGCTATGTATGTCGCTTCCTTTTTTGGTAGCAAAATGATCCAACCTCCCATCCATTTGCCACGGAATTCCTACGCTCCATTTCTATTTTTGGTGGGAGCTTTCCCACCTCCACTTGCACGGAAAATGTAAATTATGAAATTTAGTTTCATTTTTTAATAAAGAAATTGAGACTCCGCTCCAGGACTATTGCTGTGATAAGCCACATGCACGTGCCCCAATATGACCCAATTCTGCTTTCCTTCCCTTCCCCTTCCCGGTACCCCGCTCTGTCTAAGACACGAAGGGAACACAAGGACTGTGGCACGAAGGGAACACAGCGAGTGCGGCGGCACAGAGAGGCACAAAGACCATTAATCTAAAACCATTTTGGACACGGCACAAACAGCACAATTGCCGCGTGTGGCAGCCACACCAGCCACAGCTCAAAATGCTGTTAACAACTTTTTCACGCTTTTCCACACTTTTCCACGCAGCGGCGGCAGCGGCAGCGGCAGAGGAGACTTCGAGACTAATTAAACGGCACGTTGCGGGGTCGTCTAATCATGTTGATTGTGTGACCACTGATTGATTGATTGATTGATTGCATGGCCCATGAGACATGTGAGACAGCAAAGGAATGGGAACTATCTTATGGGAAGGGTCGCTTTTATGGTCGCTTGGCAAATGTTTGCTAAGGAGAAAGCTGGGAACTGTGT